TGATTATGAAAAGGTAAATTGCAAACTGAGGTTTCGGAATCGTCACATTGACACAAAATGGACTCAATCTTGATGAAAAGCATAAGCACTATACATACACATGGGTATCTGGGACTACACACACGCGACTGTTTGATTTGGCGTTTGGCCAAAACACTAAACTATTTCTTTAATGTCATATCTTCAATACGAGGCCATCTATGATCTAAAGAGCAATCCTTTTTCAGAGGACACTGCTATTATAACTTTCTTCCAAACGTGACATGACAAGAATCGGAATGAAAAAGCTCACAATTTTCGTTTTTCACCTTTACCAAACCTTTATCAAAACTCAATTTTCTCTTTAAATACCAGCATGATGCGATGGGTATATCTCCAAACCATGGAATCCACCGCAACCAAACGGTCGTGGTTTGGGTTTTGCTTTTGTTCGGCAGTTGTACTTTAAAATATACTGTGATTTGTACGAAAATCAAAATCTGTGTACAGCAGCCTCACAAACAATTAACCAGTTTCAATTCTTGTAATGTAATTACCTTCTACACCTTGCTCACAAACAGATTAATAAGTTTGTTGGTTTTGAAGGAATGTGACTGTCCTTTTATGTTTTAATGATCGAAGAGATATTCAATGGAACTAAGTTTCCGGACAGAGTTCATTAGCATTTGGTTTCAAAAGTCTACATGCAGCCTTGCTTGTAGAAGAATAGTTTAGAAACCGATTAAACATATCACCGTTAGATTGCTGCGGTTTGGAAGGATAATCAATTCAAGCAGGTTCTTTTTTAATGTGAAAAAACATATTGCTGAATAGTGGACTTATGTAGGGTTCATTGCACTGTGAAATGTACTCAAAATGTTTAACTGTTGAATAGTGGAATATTTAGTCCGAGTGGCCTGTGGAGAAGGTCGCAACAACAACGACAACTACAACAACAACAACACATAATCCATTGTTTTATAACGTCCTGATTGTACCACTTGCATAGCATACAGAAACAATATAACAGAGCCACTCCTACTACCCATCCTCTCCAACTATAAGCTCAAGAAAGATAACCAACAGTCCTTTTCAGGACTACCAACATCCCCTTTTCAGGACTACACACACACTCTCTAGAAGGACAGATTATCAACAGTCCTTCTCAGGACTCCACAATCCTCTCCCCCATCTCTCACATGTGCAACCGTAAGCCACTGTATAGAAACAATAATACTGCATCATTTCAAAATATCACAACTGTTCATACGAGAGTAAAAAAAAAAACAGTTCGTGCAAATTGCAAAAGTCAAGTGGTCTTCCGACAGTGGAACCTTGCAGAAAAAGCTGTCGCAGAAACATAGGTCGCACACCCATGCAGGGCCAAGCCTGGTAAGTCTCTGGTTCTTGTAAACGAATCTCCTTTGTCCTTTGCTAGACTATGCAGAAATATTGTCAGGAGTAATGTGAAAAAGTATTTGGTCTGACAGACAGGCGTCCATGGCAGTGCGATACAAACACAACCAAGTCAGTGTTCCAAGACCGAGCCCAGTGATCGTATGACCACGGAGATACTCTACAGAGTGAGTGATATTATCTGATCATTACCAGAATCAAACATCTGATACTCGAATACTACTAGTTATACGAAGAATACGAGAAGATGTACTTGTATTATAATGTTTTAAAACAAAAAACGATTGAAGTCTGGACCTGCAGATGGAGAAAGATCGATTCGACCTTTTTCCAAGAGGATTTGAAGAAAACGCCGTTTTGCAGAAACAAAATAAAATTATTTCAGGGCAAAGTCCACTCCAAAATTAATTTCCTTTTAATAGATGCAGACAAACAAGAGAAACAGAGCAAAACAAATTGGAGTAAATCAGTAAAATCGGATAACTCGTGAGGAAGTTATTAATTTTGGGTAAAATATGAAACAATGGAAATCATTACACAAATTGCCAATTAGTTTGTGACGTCATTGCCTCACTATTTTATCAATTTTTGTTTAAATTGTTATCCCATTGATTTCCCCATGCCTTTGCTCAGGTTATATGATATTGCGTGCATTACATTTCACAAAATCTTTTATGAACTTTGAAGAATTGATACTATTTTCTGAATATACTAGATTAGTCACTAAAATTGTTGTATCGCCTATTCAATGACATGCTTTTGAATTCTATGATCATTGTATCAGAAATAAAGTAATGACATGTCTCTGGTTTTACAATGGATTATGAATACACGTTGAGAAGGGCAAGTCCGGAAAGGGGTGCACGGATACCCCCTCCCTAGATGAACAACGGTGTTTATTCGGTTTTGTACAGTTGTTGCGATAAGGGAATTAATGACCTAATCCCATTTCCGTTTGATATAAACAAGTTTAGATTGTCTACGCCCTGGTATTCATCAGATTGATTCTCACCCTCTCTCTCTCTCTCTATCTTTCTCTCCATCCCTCCCTCCCTCCCTCTTTCTTTTTCTTCCCCTTTGTCTTCTTCCTTGTTACCTCTCAAGTCATGACCCGAATTCCAATAACATATTGTTTGCCTTTCTATACTTTTAAGTACAAATCACACAACGTCATATGCATACATAGATAGAAAAGCGGAGTGAATTTTGCAATCATTCTTTCCTACAGTCTACCTATTTCTTATATTAAACCAATTTGAAGGTTTATACGTTCAAATATAACAATAACTCTGTCTGCAGATGAAAACAATGGATTTCCACGAGGCGTAGAGTCGAATCCAACATTGTTACATCTCATATACGACTGCAGACTGACCGCGGTGTATTTTCAGTTGTATTTTCGGCTGCAAAAATCAACAGGATACATCAATGGCCATGGAAGGTCCATAATACAACAGCAGGAGACGGAAAAAACGAATCGGTTAACAATGGGCATGTGACCACAGACATACGCTCCTATTCTCATTAAGTCAGGTGTAATAATATGTGGGAAAGAAACTTTCATTTGGCCAGGAGTTGATGGTTTGCAATCAAATCGACGGGGACATAATTATCTTACGCTTCAGCGATATTTGTTTCTTTTCATTCCTCTCACCGAATCGATCCCAGAAAGATGGTGAGAGGAATATTAATAAGATCGTGCAAAACATCATGCACAAGGTTTCCGCCAAAATATTCTTGTATAGAGTATTATACATTTAAATTTACATGATGAAATAACGTCTCTGACTAGAGTTATGCGCTTCAAAAAGAGATTTGGAAATTATTACCCTAGCCGTTAACAGCGCACATTGCATTTCAATGAATAATCCTACTATACCAGATACCCATTTACCTCACCTGCACCTGGGTTGAGTGTGGCAAATGCAGATCAATGTCTTGCCAAAGGACGCTATTTGTGAAATTGTGTACGTTGTCAGATGAGAAGGAAATATTCCTCTCCTTCTGGCAGAGGAACCGGGTATTTAAACTTTTCTTCCTCTGAAATATCTCTGTAATTGTAACAGCCCTTTCGAGCTGTCCTGAAGTCTGTAGACTGTAGAGTACACAGATAAGTAAATAGTAGTTGGATTCGGTACACCTACTAAGAATAAAGATACAAATTAAAGTAAACTAATATCCTGCAAATAAAAGTAACTAACCTGTTAACATGGGGGACTGATGTATCATTGACAGAGGATGAGAGCTCGTTGTCATTACTACTCGGGCATGACACCGACGTCGAGAGCATCGACCTGAGATGATGTCGAACATGAAGAAAGATCTTGATATAGCAGACGACGATGATGACGAGCGGGATGGGATAGATCCCCAGAGCCTGGAGGATATCGTAGTAGTTGGAATACTCATGTTTGGACTGTTGACTGCAGGTGCTGTATTTCGCGTTGTAGCCCAGTTGGCCCAGGCCGACGAACCCAGGGATGACGCAGAGAACGAAGGGTATGATCCAGGTTAGAGAGATCCAGATGGCCAGGTTACGGATCTTGAAGATGGCTTGGTAGCTTTGAAGACGTTTGGTGATGAGGATGCAACGATTCAAGGCGATTGATGCTAGAGTGTAAGTGCTACATCCAACACAGGTGAATAGGATTCCTGCAGCAGCGCTACAAACCCATTCATGGAGTGGCCAGCCATCTCTACTTAGCAACGCCACAGCATTCCATGGTAGAATTAACGAGGTGAGGAGATCAGCGACAGCAAGATTCACGACGAAAACGTTCGTGATCGTTCGTAGTTTTTTCGAGAATACGACGGCGAGAATGACCAGCGAGTTACCCGCGGTACCGAGGACGCAGGCGATGATGAACATCGTCGCCACGATGGCCCGTTGGGTGTAGTTGGTGAATCGAAACAATTCGCCCGAATCCCCCGTACTGGCGGGCGGGGAAACCATCGCTGACCCGCTCGATGTACTTAGCAGACTAGCCGGTGGAGCCGTATAATTTTCCATGTTAGGTAAATCAAATCCCTCTGTTAGAAACAAAAGCTGCATCAGAATTAGACGAATTCAAATAATGTTCATATCCTTTTTAATATAATCCAAGAGAAATATCCCGATCACTGGGGTTCTACTAATGTACAGGATAAACTGCGAATGAAATCCTGATAATGGTCTCAATGGGTCCATGTGGAGGGTTCAGATGGTAATGACATGTTTCAGACTTCGGTGGCATGAAACAAAACTTTGCCAGACAGACAGTTGACAAACGACAGTCAATGTGCAGACCATTAAAGTTTCTTTACTGTTCACCCCTGTCCTTGACCTGTGAGCAAACGCATCGCTCCTCCTCGATGATCACCAGCTAGCTAGCTCTCACACTCACAGCAGACGACACACTGAATGACCAAAAAGCCTCGGGGCGGGAGAGAAAGAAGACTGGTAATCCTTTCTTGAACCAGGTTACGTCATATCTGACAAGCATTTAGCTTCTTCACTGGTGAGTGAGTGGATAACAACACCTTTCACGCATTGACTGCCGACTTCCGAAGTAAATTATCTTGCACCCATTTATATTGCGAAGTGAAAGGTGAAATATCTATCTGCCTAAAAAAATCCGTCGCGAGAGCGCTTTTTTATGTTTCCACAAATATGAACGGTTTCAGCAAAAAGTCCACTTGACAGAATCGAGTCTGGTTACGATTGATGATGATGACACCATTACGAAACTATTCCACATGTGTCCGATTACAAGGCTGGTATTTCGGTTCCTTTCACTTGTAAACCAAGCTCGTTCCACTGCCGAAGTTCACTCGGTATAATAGTTCCGATAAACATGAAAGACGGAGAACTATCCAGAGAAAAAGGATCCCTCGAGAGAGAAACTGGAGTAAATTGTCTATCGCTCAGTTCCGAAGAGGGAACATTCATCACTCAACGTGTAAGCGTATGAACTGAAGGCCGTCTGGTATAAACTCCCCACCACTCACACTGCTGTGCGTCCACGCTCCATCCAAACCCCAATCACCTATACACAAACAAAGAAGCTCAGCGCTTATGTGACGTCACAATTGCAGTCAGCGAATCGCGTGATAGGAAGGGGGACTTACCCCCAATTTAACGAGGCTGAGAGTTAACAGATAAATGTTGACACTACAGTGCAAATAAATCACATATTTTAAGCCCAAAGATCGGCCCATGCCTGTGTTTGAGCGTTAACGGTTGTGTAGCCTGCCGTGAGATGATTTATACCAAGGAGTTGTCTTGTTTATACAGGCTTAAAACCGTAAAATTAACAGTAAACTACATAGAACGCAAATAAATTGTGATGCTGCCTCACGTTGTAATATTGCAATGTCCATAGATGCTTTCGATGAGAACAATTCTGGAAAATCTTACAATTTCATGGTTTTCTTTGAAATGTGTATTTCATATGAACGATGTAAAAGAGAGGGAAAAACGTCTTTCTCATACACGACCTATCCCTATACATGACGTTTTCCTGTCTCATCCATGTGTTTGATCAGCAATGAATTAGTTCAGTAAACTTAGGAAGGGGTGCAACTTTGCACCTCAACGACAGGTGCAATGTAAATTTATGCACCTCAAAGGTGTGACTCCTTAACGATTACGCTTAAAAACACACATGTGCAACTCACGAGAATGAAAGTCCATTTGCACAGGAGAATAATGAAAGCAATTTTCTTATTAAGATATCGTAAACATTCCAAGTGCATGAGTGATTATATTATTGTCTTCTAAGTTCATACATTCCAAACTCGCAGATGTTTAAAATCACATTTATACCAGATCATTGTTATTAATGGACTGCAAATACCCTATCCAGTGGGCGTTTGTGGGAATTTGAACAACCCCTAAACACTAGCTTTACACAAACCCCATTTCTTCTGTGTGAGAAAAACCAGAAAACCGCAAGAGTATACAACCTGTCATTTTGTATTGTTAACTACTCAGGCGAAAATACCAAATTGCATATTTCTAAAGAGATGTCGTTTTCTTTATTTGGCATGGTACAGAGCAAATAAAAAAAACTGAAATGCAGGTAAGATTTACGGCCTTTCGGTCAGGGCTGGCGGATAATTCATTGAAAATATATTTAACCTCTGAAGAAAGCCAAATTCTTTTACTTTGTGGTCATTCATTATACAAATCAAAATTCATCCTCGCCCGATTTGATGCATCCATCTATGCGAAATTAAAGTCTATCAATGCTATAATGCTATATTTTTTTGAAAGTATGGTGGCTTCATCTTGCACAAATTGTGCGTACACTTCGTACAAGTTTTATTGTTGATTGATGTTGGTCTTTTTAACCTAATAATTATTAACCAATGTGAGAAAATGGTGGAGTGCTATTTGCGTTTGAAGTGAAGGCCAATTCCATAGATCAACTTTTTTAGTATTCGTTGTCATGTCAACATTTTACGAGAAGATTGAGTTCTGGTGAGAGGTGAAAAATAATTTGTGAGCGTTATCATTGTTATTATGCAAGTGTGGGAGAACATCAGAGAAAAATGATCAACATTTTCTGATCGAATCCACACCGTTTATTTCACGATGCAATCGCATGACCAGAACTCAACTTTATCTTTAAAGAGGTAATACATCATGTACATGTATGCCTGAATAGTCCTGGATATTTATACCTAAAAAGAACTTTTATCTCACTTCCCCCCATGAGGACTGATCTCAGAAAAAATGTTGAGTAAAAAGTTGTGTTTGACCAACATTTGGGCAGTTAAAATGCCCAACTTGAGCGCTTTTGTTTTGCTCAGTTTGTAGTGAAATAATGTGATCATCAATTTTGGGCAAAACTTTATCCAAATTAGGCATGAAATCCCTAACGTTGGTTTAATAAACATATAAATCATCTAATGCTAATACAACGGAGGGTTTGCAAAATTATTTTAGGCTCTAATTTTATGTCATATTCACATGCATGTCAAGTATGCAATTTAAGTACACTTGAGGAAAGAAGGCTAGTACTGTGTATAAAATTTGCAAAATCTTTAGCAATTCAACCAGCATGCCAGAACTGGCTACCTTCAAAAAAAGAAATTAGAATATCATTACGTCAGACTCCTACATATCATAATTTCAAATGCAAAACCAATCGCTTCAAAAACAGCCCTTTACCATATTTGATCAATATAATTAACCATAATTAAATGCTTTTTTAACTAAATGTTAAATTTCAAACACAGTACTAGTCTTCACCCCAGTCGTCTTTAGTCTTAAAATCAAATGTATTCATGCTAAACGAGAGTATAAAACTTTCTTTTGTTTTTCTTAAAGTGTAATGTTATATTGAATGTATTTTTAACAATCTTTTTAAATTGTAAATATTTAAATATGCAACCTGTCACTTTGTTATGTCAACATGTAAACATGAATAATCCAGCTTCTGCTGCTTTTCATGTAAAATGACAATTATCATGCATGTATATTGAAATTACATAATAAACCATTATTGAATTGAATTGAATTGAAATGCTGGGAATATTTTAACCCATTATTTCTCACAGTGATGAGACAAAAAAGGATCGCTTGTGTTATAATGTTGGCAAATGTTGGGGATTTTTCAATGCGCAGAAATCTCGGAGATAACGGTTCTTTCTTCCTGTTATGAAGTGTATACACAAACAAACATTCCGCTTCCTCCCTCTCATATCTCGATTAACCATGTGTATTTCGTTTAAGAACACTCAATTTCATGCATTTTCACTCTTTCAAAATCAAAAGATTGTTTGTAGATGGAGTTCACATTAATCGCAGTATTCAACCTTCAACCGAGATTGTATTACCATTATGACAAAGAAAAAATAAAGCAAACAGAAAAATGAGCAATTGTACCTCTGGAATGCCAGGGATAGAAAAGGTTCACTTCTAACTATTGCATAGAGCCTCATAAGTCCGCTTTCAATAGTTTTGTAACAACAGAAAATAATTATTGAATGGAGGTTATAAGTGAGTTATTACAGTATTTTGAAAAATAAAATTCCTCGATTTTAAAATATGGTTTGCTTTGGACGTGTGCATAGTGGTTCACTATTGATGTTATTCATTTTGATGCAATTCTATAATTTTGTCTACAACGATTGTCGCTCATCGTCCTTATGGTTTCCTGGATAATTGAATTTATCGAATATCTGAAATATACGGGTATCATGGTGATTTCACCCTGTGGTAAAAACTTGTTATCCCTTTAAGCTGGAGTGAGTCCAGTATTTCACAAAAGGGGGCAACAATTGCCAAAAAATTCACGGGGTTATCCTGTAGTGTACTTCAGCTATGCCAATGTGGGGGAAGGGCCCGTTGTGCCCCCCCCCCCACCCCCTTTCATCGGCCACCGCCTTTAAGAGTAAGGTATATTTATATCAAGAAGACAAGTCTTATGTGATGGTTCATTTGCTTACAACCACATGCCAACATTCCGCAGTGAAATAAAGCATTTTTACATACAATAGAGGTCTAAGATGATAATCTTCATAAGTATGTACCTTGCAATAGATTATCCCCATACTGAACAGTTTATCCAATAAGATCTACTCCTACCAGTAATAATGCTCTAAGATGTAATCGACTTGCATAGAAGGTTGGGTTCTGAAATATTTCTGTTTTTTTTCCAATTGATTCCTTTTTATGTCACTTTAGAAAAATATCATAGAAAATATGTCCCCTTCAAATACCCCTATCATATATTGGTGATATTCTAAGTAAATTAATAATATTTAGTTTGTTTACACATGGTATCCTCATCAGCCGCAATACTGTTCTTCCCTTAGCGATTGCCATGTCTCCTGTTTTCACCTGGGAAAGAGTGGCAAACGTAGATTAATGTCTTGCCAAAGGACGTTAGTGTCTGGCTGAGATTCGAACCCTCAACTCTTGGTTTGAAAGTCAAGTGAATGAACCACAATACCGCATCATCTCCACATGAAAAGTATGAAAAGAATTAGCTGCAGTGTTTTGACTAAATGGTCATCTCATATCAGTTCTGAGTGCATTCCATGTACTGCTCATCAAGATTGAGTCAAATGTCTTATCTATTTGCTGATTCAGACACTTCTCAGTATACATCGATTCTCTATTGTTTCCAGTTCGTATTTTTCACAATATTCTTGGGTGACTAGAAAGAAGTCAGCTTTATCTCTAAACAACAACCTCTACTCCGACCTTTCGTACGGATTATACTCCTATTCACACACACCCATGTAAATTGATTTAGAACCCTACCATCTTCACCGGGCTATATGCATGAATCACCACATTTCTACATTTCATTTGATCATTTGTTCCCCTGATGTTTTGCCTTGGGTCTTTGTAAGACTTGTCTTGATCCGATAATACATAACAACCCGTCTAGACTGATTGGGGCTCAACACGAGATGATTATATTTTCTGTTATAGTAACAGTCATCTTATTTGTAGGCGATGATGATGATAATGAAATATATTAACAAATTGTATCATCATTTATTTAGCGCCGCCTACTTGGCCTATTTTAAGGAATCACTTCCAATAGGAAAATGTGTATTGTTGTTTTGTTTTCTCAAATGTTTTACATTCATATCTGTGTTTTGAGCC